AATCTTATTTTCAATTACAAGCAGATTTAAAGAAACTAAAGCTAAGAAAGGCAAAGATGGACACTTTCTACTGGTCAAATGAACACTAAAACAAGATTACAATTCAATTTTAAATATTTATGCACTCAACTCAAATGCTCCCAGATTTGTGAGACAGACGTTGATAGGTCTAAACAATATGATATGCCATAACACCATAATAGCTAGAAACTTTAACACCCCACTGACAGAACTGAATAGATGCTCTAAACAGAAACTAAAAATAAGATACAAAGGACTTAAATGTGAACCCAGAACAAATGTAATTAGTAGATATAAACAGAACACACCATCCTAATCCTAAAGAATGTACCCTTTTGTTGTCAGCTCATGATATTTACTCCAAAATCAACTATATCCTAGGATACAAATCAAACCTCAGCGAAATTAAAAGAACAGAAATTATACCTTGTATCTTCTTAGACCACAAGGCAATAAAGGTGGAACTCATCGATGACAAAAGTGTTCATCCCCACACAAAGGCATGGAAATTAAATAGCCCTAGTGCTGAATGATAGTTGGGTTCAGGAAGAGATAAAAGAGAAAATCATTGAATTCTGCAAACAATGAAGACACAAATTACCAAAAGCTATGGGATACAGCAAAAGCGGTTTTAAGAGGGAAATTTATCACATTAGACACCTACATTCCAGAAACACACAGAAAGCACATCCACAAACTCATAAGCCATCTTAGGGAATAGGAAAAAGAATTATCTAATTCCAAACACAGAAGATGAAAAGAAATAACAAAAATTACATTAGAGATTAATGTAATTGAAAACAAAAGAATCATTCAGAAAATTAAAGGAACAAAATGTTGGTTTTTCAAAAAAAATAAATGAAATTAATAAATCTGTGGGCTAATTAACTAGAAATAGAAAAGTAAAATCTCTAATAAACTTAATCAGAAACAACAAAGAGGAAACAACAACAGATGACACAAAGGTACGAGATCATCTCGAGTACTACAAGAAACTCTGTGCTCAGAAATTGGACAATGTGGGGGAAATAGATCAATACCTGGAATCATACCCTTTCCCTAGACTTAACCAAGAAGAAATAGATACTTGAATAGACTATATCAAGAACTGAGATGGAAGAAACAATAAGAAATCTCCCAACAGGCTTGGCACCTGTAGGTCAAGTGGCTAAGGGGCCAGCCACATATACCAGAGCTGGCAGGTTCTAATCCAGCCTGTGACTGCCAAACAATAGTAACAACTGCAACCAAATAATAGCTGGGCATTGTGGTAGGCACTTGTAGTCCCAGCTACTTGGGAGGCTGAGGCAAAAGAATCACTTTAACCCAGGAGTTGGAGGTTGCTGTGAGCTGTGAGGCCATGGCACTCTACCCAGAGTGACAGTCTGAGGTTCTAACAACAACAAAAAAACGCTCTAAGGCAGCGCCTGTGGCACAGTGAGTAGGGCACCAGCCCCATAAACCAAGGCTGGCATGTTGGAACCCATCCCTGGCCAAACTAACAAAAAATAGCTGGGAG